GAATTCTGAGTTGCTAAGTCGCAATTCTGAGATACTAAGTTGGAATTCTGACTTACTAAGTCGCAATTCTGAGATACTAAGTCGGAATTCTGACTTACTAAGTCGGAATTCTGAGTTGCTAAGTCGCAATTCTGAGATACTAAGTCGGAATTCTGAGTTGCTAAGTTGCAATTCTGAGATACTAAGTCAGAATTCTGACTTACTAAGTCGCAATTCTGACATACGAAGTCGGAATTCTGAGATACCATAGCGCGTTTTTTTTTACTCCCTGGTGGAAACGGGCTTCCATAAAGAATTGCCAATTCAGGAGAACAAAATTGTAGTTTAAACTGATGCTGGAGGTTCATTCATTCTTTCTTGATAAAAGCTTTGTGCACATACTGTATACTGTTAATAATCTATGTTAGAGGCAACACTGGAGAATACATTTGGTGTTGTCTTTGAAATTGTTAGTGTATCATTTTAATTTGGTCAGCTTCTTCATGTCAGGCCAGTTGATAAACTTCGGTTTCCAACTAATTGCTTTCATGCATATTTCCATTTATTGAAGTTTTTATTCTTTTGAGGGTTTTCAATAAAATCTTCCTTTTCTGATTTAAGTCCTTCCCTGCATGCCTGGGTAAGGTGGTGTCATCAATCCAGAGAAAGCCGTTTCTGCCTTGGTCATCTCTGTTTGCCAATAAGGTCATCTGGTTTGTATCCCAACCTCATACCAGTGTTCACCAATCCACTGGGAAGAAACCTTGATCCTTTACTTCCTTGACACTTTTGCCAGTCACAATCTCCAAACACAAAGCTTGACAGCAAGTTTCCATTGGTTACACTCAAAAGCCTTTGACAAACAAACAGGATCTTCAAATCAGCAGGTGGGTTGACATTTTCATTTCATTCTGGGTCCTTGGTTGTGTAAAAGCACAAATCTTAGATGCCAGTCAGGCTTTTACTTTTCTGCAATGGAGACACCGCAGGCAGTCGTTTCAAATGTTCTGCTGCTGCTGCAGACAAATGAGAGAGAACAAAGGCAAAAGCATCTCCTTGATGTAATAAAATACATGTTGCATTTCTAAAAGCATGACAAGCAATTGTGAGGTGAATCGCCCTCTTGTAGATTGCAAAATCAGATATGTTTGGCTTTGAAACAAAATCCCAAAATTATTTTATCAGTGACATTGAATGGGTAAGTTGTTTTTATTATTGATTAACTACTTTTTGTGTTCATATTATATATGGACGGCAAATAGACAGAATGCCTTAATACATTATCCTTTAACACCATCTCATGTTTTTTATTGCTTCTTAATTAAATAGAAAGGTTGTGGCCTTAAATCAGGTTAAACTCTGTGAAGAATTAAGCTACATTTCATTAACATTCCTCATTAATGTATCCATGCCACATGCATGATTTAGCAGGTATTCAGATATAACTAATGATGGTTCTCTGGACGTTGTGCCTTTTTTTCCTAATCTCTTTCAAGTTCTTTTCATTCAGTTTGCTTTACTATGTCATCTTTCTTCAGGGAAAGTTCAAAACACAGTGGCAGTAAATGATGAGTGGTATTAAGCCTCTTGACAAGTGTGCAAAACAGTTTACAGTTTAAATTTGGTCATATACATACATTTGTTTACTTTTGAATACAGTCTATGACATCTTATCACTGGTATGAAGTACGAGACCATGCTAAAAATCCATATTAAACAAACCATGCTTGGAATTGTGGATACAGGAAAATAAAACAAAAGGACACAAAGAGGTATATCCAGAAATAAAATCTCAGTAGGCAAATGCGCAACCATGACAAGCAACATAAGCACAGTGAGGTCTGTTCTGTTTGGAGTTGAGTAATATATATGAGCTAGAATATTTTGGTAAATTCTTCAGACTTTTCACAAGTCTTTTAACTACAAAACTAGTGGTAGTAAAACTAAAAACAGCATCTCCTCCAGGGAAAGTGGGGTAATAGGGGTCAAACAGTCGTTTCTATCTTTTCAATGATTTCCACAGTTGATTTTGAAGGGGACAGAAGGGTGCATTCGTCCTGGTCCCAAATGCTGCCGGGACTGGAGTCCTCATCTGTGCTCAGCTCATCATCTTCCTCTTCCTCTTCATCCTCCGTGTCCTCATCACAGGACTCCAGGTAGTGCAGCCCCAGTGCATTGATTCCAGAATCTTCAGAACTGGAGGGTGAGGAGCAATGGTCCATTTTGGGCCCACTGGCCTTTTCCCTGCCTCCGACTCCAGGGGCTGCTGCTGACATTGTCTGTTGGTAGTTTGAACTGGGACGGGCTCCCTGGACAGGTGGTTGGGAAGGTGCCTGTGCAGGCAGAGGTGCTGGCACCTGAGGTGAGGGTCGCTGTACATAGCACATTTTGCCATTGATGCGTTTCACCTGATAATCATCAATGAAGAGCTCAGAGATCAGGCAGTACTTGGGAGACTCTGGGCAGGGCGGTGGCTGGAAGCATGGGGCTGTCTTGAGGAAGCGTTCAGTCAGGGACACAGACAGGTTGATGGTATTGGTATAGTCAGAGGGTGCGGCTGGGACTGGGGTGCTGGGCAGCTGACCCACATTGGTCATAGGCTGGTAGACATATTTACCTACAGAAGAGAAAAAGAGTCACCATTTACATGAAGCAATATGAAGAGAAATGTGAAAGAGAGGAGCACAACTAGTAGAAAACCATTGTTGGCATTTGTATGATGTTTCATTGTCTAACTCTTCTTACACATTCACTAAAAAGGCCATTATTAAATAATTGAAAAGGTGAGCACACTTTTTTGTGCTTGAACACACCTTTATTTTTCTGTAGTTTGGACAAACCCTAATTTAAGGAGGAGAAATTGTATAATCTGTATCATTATGCTTTATTGAGAAGAAGCTTCTCTCAACAGCTGTAAGAGATTCTTGGATACATTTTCAGTATATTTATAATTTTCGGTTAGAGTAGAGGGAGGGATTAAATCGTCAACTGGGTAAACTGCAATTATTTCTCATACATAGGTGGTAAATGGGTGAGACAGGCTTTGACCTCCTACACATTCCAAAACACCATTTAGAATTTATGGGAGGTGAACATTTCTATTCTCGAGTTTTAAAAAAAATCAGAGAACTGGCATGTAATGCGGTGTATTAAATGAGTCTTAAGGCTGAAGGCATTACTATAGTAATTTGCAGTGGAGGTAACCATTGTGTACCCAAGGTTTGACCATTTAGGCTCAACATTTTATTTAATAGAAAGTCATTAATTTTTAATACTGTGCCTGCAGTTACACTGAAAGGAAAATTCCCCATGTACAAACCAAAGCTGTTTCAGATACCACAATTCCCAGTGCACCCAAGTTCCACTACGAAGCCAGTAACTCTCCTTGAACACAAATGTTAAATCTCAAGGCTTCTGTGAATTTGTGCAACCTGTGTTTTAACCCCTTTACGCTAAAATAGAGTATTTTAACAGTTTAAAATCCATGGAACATACTTGGTAGTTAGGGTGATAACTATGATTGAAGATTTCCAGATCACGTTTGCTTCTGTACACTAAGTGCACTAAGTAAAATTCCATACACAAGCCTTTATTTTGCTGTTTCCATCAGCACTTTCCGACTGAGACACAACTGTACAGCAAGATCTGTGTAGGCCAATAAGGCCCTGGATAATCCATCTGTTTTTCATCATTATAACTCCAAGACTTGTCATGGAAGGCCCCCAAGATGGCTCTATGATAAAGTCAGTTTGTTTTCAGAATTTAATAACAGAGGTTTTGTAAGCTGTTTCTGACAGATCCTGGTCAGTTTTTGCCAATGTTGGTCTCCGCATGTTAGGGTTTCTTTGTTAAGCAAAGCAAAAAAATATGACCTCTCTTTATGACCAGTGGTGACCACTTTTAAAACACAAATACATGTTTGTTAAAGATTTATCAGCAATAAAGATTTAGGTTGCTGATACATCCTTGAAATACTACACCTGCTGTAAATCTGCATTGAAGAGGTCTATCCTAGAGCCCTAAGAGAAACATCTGATGATTTTCCATTATAATTATATGTATATAAGATCAGTTTTAGCCTTTGACAGAGAAGAGGGCAAGATGGAAAAAGTTAAATATAGGAAAAGTATTGTAAAAAGGGGGAAAAAAGCTTATGTTTAAATACATGCGCACTGTAAAAGCCTTCTAAGTAACACTGACATCCAATGTAAAGTATTTTCAACTGAAATAAGAGATCTGACCTGTTTATATATGTCATCTTTTGCAGATGGAGCATTTCTAACTAATTACTTTAGGGTCACAGGCTGTATGACTCATTACCAGTGAACATAAATATGTATGTCCTGCTAGCCTTGTATAATGAGTTGGAGAAAAATGCCTTTGTACTGCAAAAAGGTTAGGCTATTATATTGAATTTACTGCAGAAAGTGCCACTGGAAAATGATCCTAGTGACAGAAGGTCATATTTACAGGCACTGGCTCTATCAAACCTTAAATGTAACCAGACATTTCTGTTGTTGTGGTGTCT